TACATCCTATTGGATAAATGTTCCCCTGGTCCTCTATTTGTGAGCTCTCCATTGTCGTACTTTCTCTCTTATGGACTGTTGGATCTCCTCAGAATGCATGCCAACATATATTTTATGTACACTAATCATTAAGGTAAAAGCTATTATAGAGAATATATATATATATATATATATATATATATAAAAATTAATTAATAGGCATATAAATCTTCCTTTCATTATAAAAAGGGGTGTAAATTTGTTATGCCGGGCTCGACTCACTTTTTGGCCCGAGCTTGAGTTTAACTCTAGAAGTTTTAAGTCGGCTCTTATTATAAAATAGAGAAAATAATAATAATAATTAAAATTAGTGTTATAAAATTGAAAAAAAGAATATTTGGAAGATAATTAATAAGAACACACTTTAAATAAAGCATAAAATATTAAATATTTTTAATAACTTCAATATGAAGTCTTGAATTTTAACTTATTGTAAGATGATCCAAAAGCATGTTGAAGGAGTCGAGGACACGAATGAGGAGACAGGACGAGACAAGAGTGAGCAAGTGAGAGAAGTGTAAGGGGTTCAAAGCTACGAAGAAACCAAGATTTTGGGTCGTGCATGGAGTGTGAAGTGAAGATGGGATAAAATGGTTGTTTAAAACACATATATAGTCAAAAGTTTAAGCCGGTGTTATTATTGTCGATTCAAATCACTATTTAGAGTGTTTTAAACTGCCATTTTTAAACTGTTGCAAACGAGTGTTGCATTTTCACAAGTTTTTAGTAGTGGATTAATAGCTATTCCTCCTATAGGTTTCTCCCTATGATATATCTCTATATTTACCTATATGCCCTCTTTAATATATAATATATGAGGATAAGTTGTTCTTCATTAAGAAAACATCACATAATTTGTTCAAAGTAAAAGCATTTAGGAAAATACAGCAATAGTCAAAGTCAACTCATCTCCTTCTATTTGGTTTTTAAATCCAAAATATTTAGAAATCTCTAGTTTTGATTAGTCAAATATCTCTAACTGTTTTTGTTAGCAAGTTGCAAGCTTTCACCTGTCTTAGCCCCTCTTATGTAAAAGTCTTCTATAGCCAATTACTAGTCGGCAGAAGACTTGTTAGGCCTTTATTAGTTGCGTAATCGAAGGAACCTTTTTTAATATATATATATATATATATTTAACATCACATAAAAAATATTAATAGTATTAATTTTCTTAAAAAGTGGATCTTATTTTTGTATGCATCAATATCTTTTAAAATGATTATGATACTAAAATGATATAAAAGAAATTATGTAATTTGTATGTAAATATTCGGTAAAATAAAGTTTAAAAAATGGGTTTTATTTTGGCTTAGTTTTGAAAAATGCCTACAAAGGGAGAAATATTTGTGTACATAAGACGTACACATAGCTGCATACCTCTCGTAGGTTACAGGAAAGGTATTTGGGATTATATACGCATTATACCCCTATAACCTCCCTATAACCTACTTGTAACCTACATGTAATTAGTAAGTTCTGCGCTTCTGTTCTCATATATTTCTAAGTTACAGGTAGGTTACAAAGAAGTTACAAGGGGTATAATGTGGATATAACTCTCAATATCCTCCCTGTAACCAACTTGACGTACGCACTATCTCCTACAAAGGACAAAAGAAAAAGTGAAACATGTTATATTAAACATTTGAAAACCCAAGGTTTATAAAAATGGGTTTTATTTTGGCTTAGTTTTGAAAAATGTCTGCAAAGGGAGAAATATTTGCGTACGTAAGATGTACACATAGCTGCATACCTCTCGTAGGTTACAGAGAGGATATTTGGGGTTATATCCTCGTTATTCCCCCTGTAACCTCCCTGTAACCTACTTGTAACATACATGTAACTAATAAGTTCTGCGCTTCTATTTTCATATATTTCTAAGTTACAGATAGGTTACAAAGGGATTGTAGGGGGTATAATGTGGATATAACTCTCAATACCCTCCTTGTAACCAACTTGATGTGCGCACTAACATACGCAAATATTTCTCATGCAGGACACAAAAGAAAAAGTCAAACAAGTTATTTTAATCATTTAAAAAGCCAACGTTTATATAATAAAAAAAAAAACAAAAGTACACAATTTATTTATTTTTTTACTTTCTTGTTTTACGTGTTGAACGAGTGTTCTGTTTTTTCGCAGGATAAAAATTTGTCTAACATGTGCTACATATGTCTAATATAAAAGTGGAAGTATAAATATCATGTTGGCTGCATAAAATCAAAATAGAATTTATTTTAAAAGATTTTGGAAGAAATTTATTATTTCTTTTCATCATCACTAGTAAAATTTTCAAAATGTTTAAAATTGATGCATCATTAACAAATTTTTATTATCCAACACAAAATTAGATGCATTTTTTGAATAATAAATATTTTAAATTTTGAATTCAAGATGATCCAAGATCCCAAATTGTGTAAGTTTAGTGTCAAATTGATCGTATCAACAGAACATATAATATCAAAGTTGGGTCAATCCAGGTTCAATAAGGCGCATTTCAAACCATTAAAGTACATTTGGTAGCCTCGTATCATCAATTTAGAATGATCAAATGAACTCCAAATTTGACATATTTTTAGACAAATCTAGCGTTTTGATGAGAGAAATCTAATTAGTCAAATACCACTTAATTTCGATGGTATTAATGAGCTCAAATTGTTTTAAAAAAACTCTTATGATCAAGGGGATCAACATAGGTCCTTCAGTGAGGTGATAGAGATAGTTATTCTTAAAAAAATTACAATGTCTCTACCCACAGGCTATAAAGCATAAAAAGACTCTTCTGTTTAATAGAGAAGAAAAAAAAAAGAATTAGAATTTTAGAGCCCAGTTTGAGTAAAGTCCTGATGATAACTTCCGGCCACCGACTAGTATTGACCACCGCCGGCCATCACTACCTCTTGCCACTGACCTCCGACCATCAACGCCCCCTGCTTGAAAATGCCATATACCAAATACGGTCATTTATAATGTATAACACTCATATTGAAGACTTGATGATAATTTCTGACCTCCGTAGTTGCCATCTAGCATCGACCACCTACTTTGATTGAGCTAGGTCCGTGATTTTTTCTTTTATGAACTTTTTCACATAAAAACATCTTGATGTCTCCACTTGCTTGCTATTTCTCCTTGATCTGTATGTGTGTTGCGTCTTCGTGCAACTCTAAGAAGCTAAATAATATTATTAAATTGTAAACTATATTTATTAATTTACATTTTTCTTAATAAAAAGATAGAAGGATAACAAGCCACTATTATAATTATATTATAGATAGAATGAACATGATGTGAATTTCTTTCTTGTTTTCCTAAGATACATTGTTGTGGTTGATTTCATTTAAGGAAAAAACTCTTGTTTTGTTTTTCTCATAAGCAATAATTTTTTTTTATTTTTGCCAATTTAGACATATAGACAATTGAATATATTTCTTGTTGTATTTACAATAAAGTTGGGGAAAATTATTATTTAGAGATGTAAACGCTCTTTCTAAATCCTTGTATTTAAACATCACTACCATATTCATGATAATAATCATCACTTTCAATGAAATGATCAACTTATCTTTTATAATAAGAAAATTCTAATCCAAATCAAATATATATAGTTGTTAATGAAAATTCTAATCCAAATCAAATATATATAGTTGTTCTATCAGTATGAAACTTAACGCTAACTAATATTTGATATCATTATCGCGGTCAATAAAATATTTGTCATTAGGAAAAATCATGAGCACAACTTATTTACATATAAATCTCAAAGTAATAGAAATTATAAAAACCAACTAATTTATGCTGTGAAAAACGATGACAAAAACAAAAAATTGAAACGAGAAAATTTGCAAATCGGAAAGAACACACACAGATTTACGTGATTCGGAAAATTGCCTACATCTAGGGACTTGCAGAGGATTTTATTACTTTGAGGATTGCACCCATCGATCGTCTCGAAGATTACAAGAAAGAATTCTCTCTCTCTCTCTCTCTCTCTCTCTCTCTCTCTCTCTTTCATCATCTTCTCTCTCTCTACATCGAAAGCCACACAACAGAAGAAGAGACAATTAAAGAAGGGAGCAGCAATTTCAATTTTTTCCCGCATAAGCTTAACCGAGGAGGAAAACCAAGGGAGCAGGTAATACCATGTGATTCATTCCTTGATCTTCTTCTGCAAGCAATACAAAAGCATCAAAGAAATTATGTGCTCCGTAGAGAGCAAGCAACATTCGTCCCTTTATAATTCCAGCAGAGGCCCAATCTCGGTCCATATATGGAAACAACCACTTTACTGGAAAGCTTAAGGAAGGAGGCAGGCGAGACTTATACCAAAAGAGACGACAATGGGAACGCGGGAAGAAACATGTGAATGTGGTTTCGCGGGAGGAACAAATATATTGGTTTCCTTAATCAACAGTGGACCGGGCTCCACTGATCTCAACAATTCTCATTGGGACACTGACTGCATCATATACTGGCTGCATCATCTACTGGTTGTACCGACCTTTTCCTCAAACATAATATTCTCTATCTCTGCAGCTCAAAAGGCTCTTGTCTTCACGCTAGAAGATCAACTAAAGTTGAGCACAACTTCAGATTCTTAAGTGTAACGCTCTTAGTAAATATATCAACACGGTTTTTACTTCCACAAATTTTCTCAAGTACCAATTGTCCATCATCTAACAATGATCATATGAAGTGATATCTAATCTGAATGTGCTTAGTCATGGATTGAAATGTGGGGTTCCTGGCAAGAAATATGGCGTTCTGACTATTGTTTTAGAGAGTTCCCTTTTAAACCTCCTTACCCAATTCTTCTAAGAAACCCTGTCGTCATATCAACTCCTTTGCAGCTTCTGAGACTGCGATGTACTCAACTTCTGTAGTGGACAAAAAAATCGTCTTCTGTAGATTTGAGCCCCATGACATTGCAGTACCACCAAAAGTATAAAAATAATATTTAGTACCATCTCTACTGTTAATGCCTCCTGTACCTCCATGCTTTTTCCCGAGAAATACAAGCAGGTTTCTGATGAGCCTCTTAAGTACCTAAAGATCCACTTCATAGGTTCCCAATGTTCCATCCCTGCATTACTCATGTATCTGCTCACAACTCTTATTGCATGGGCAATATCTGGTCTTGTCAAACCATAATATACATAAATGAACCAATAGCTGAAGAGTAAGGAACCTTACTCATGTAGTCATATTCTTCCTTTGACTTGGGTGAGTGATTCTTGTTGAACATGAAGTGGATGCCCAAATGTGTGCCAACTGGTTTGGCCTTATTTATATTGAACCTGCTAAGTACCTTTTCACATATTCAGCCTGTGAAAGCCTCAACGTGCCTCTAAATCCATCTCTAACAATTGTTATGCCAAGGATTTTCCTTGTAGCTCCCAAATCCTTCATTGCAAAGTGCTCTGACATCTGCATCTTCAGATTATTGATTTCTTCAATATTGGCCCCTGAAATAAGCATATCATCCACATATAATAGTAGGATGATATAAGGATTGTCATAGTACATAACATGACAACAATGATCCATCTGACATCTGTTGTACCATACATTGTGCATGAATTTATCAAACTTATTGTACCACTGCCTAGGAGCTTTCTTGAGGCCATACAAGCTCATATTCAGTCTGCAAATTGACTCTTCCTTTCCCTGTAGTACAAAACCCTAAGGATGGTGCATGTAGATGTCTTCTTTAATGCTCTATGAAGAAAAGTTATCTTCACATATAACTGCTCAAGAAGTAAATCTTCAGTAGCAACCATAACCAATACCATCTTAATGGTTGTGATCTTCACTACAGAAGAAAAAATTTCAGAATAATCAATCCCTTGTCTCTGTTGAAAGCCTTTTACAATAAGTCTAGCCTTGTATCTCTTATTGTCATCATGCTCAATCTTCACTTGGTACACTCACTACATGTGCAATGCCTTCTTCCCGGATGGAAGTTCTATCGGCCCCCATGTCTGATTTCCTAGTAGAGAATCCATCTCTTCTTTCGTAGCCAACTCTTACTTGCTCAAATTTTTATCTTGCAAAGTTTCTTCATAACTCTGTGGTTCTCCATCATCTGTCAACAGAATATAGTTTAAGGTTGGTGAGTAACGTTATGGAGAACATCTATTCTTGCCGACCTGTGAATTATAGCTATAGAGGTGGACGACTTTGAATTTGACTGTAGAATAATAGGAATGGGTGCTCGGGCGCACTCTCCTCAGCACTTTCATCACTAACCCTAAGGATAGTGCATGTAGATGTATTCTTCAATGCTCTATGAAAAAAAGGTATCTTCACATATAACTGCTCAAGAAGTAAATCTTCAGTAGCAACCATAACCAATACCATCTTAATGGTTGTGATCTTCACTACAGAAGAAAAAATTTCAGAATAATCAATCCCTTGTCTCTGTTGAAAGCCTTTTACAATAAGTGTAGCCTTGTATCTCTTATTGTGCCGACACCTGCTAAGTACCTTTTCACATATTCAGCCTGTGAAAGCCTCAACGTGCCTCTAAATCCGTCTCTAACAATTGTTATGCCAAGGATTTTCCTTGTAGCTCCCAAATCCTTCATTGCAAAGTGCTCTCACATCTGCATCTTCAGATTATTGATTTCTTCAATATTGGCCCCTGAAATAAGCATATCATCCACATATAATAGTAGGATGATATAAGGATTGTCATAGTACATAACATGACAACAATGATCCATCTGACATCTGTTGTACCATACATTGTGCATGAATTTATCAAACTTATTGTACCACTGCCTAGGAGCTTTCTTGAGGCCATACAAGCTCATATTCAGTCTGCAAATTGACTCTTCCTTTCCCTGTAGTACAAAACCCTAAGGATGGTGCATGTAGATGTCTTCTTTAATGCTCTATGAAGAAAAGTTATCTTCACATATAACTGCTCAAGAAGTAAATCTTCAGTAGCAACCATAACCAATACCATCTTAATGGTTGTGATCTTCACTACAGAAGAAAAAATTTCAGAATAATCAATCCCTTGTCTCTGTTGAAAGCCTTTTACAATAAGTCTAGCCTTGTATCTCTTATTGTCATCATGCTCAATTTTCACTTGGTACACTCACTACATGTGCAATGCCTTCTTCCCGGATGGAAGTTCTATCGGCTCCCATGTCTGATTTCCTAGTAAAGAATCCATCTCTTCTTTCGTAGCCAACTCTTACTTGCTCAAATTTTTATCTTGCAAAGTTTCTTCATAACTTTGTGGTTCTCCATCATCTGTCAATAGAATATAGTTTAAGGTTGGTGAGTAACGTTATGGAGAACAACTATTCTTGCCGACCTGTGAATTATAGCTATAGAGGTGGACGACTTTGAATTTGACTGTGGAATAATAGGAATGGGTGCTCGGGCGCACTCTTTTCAGCACTTTCATCACTGCCCTGAACTGTGACCTTTGGTAGATCTTCAAACCATACCAAATCAGATTTTTGGGAGCTAATTCAAAAACTGTACTAGACTTGTCCTTTTCCATAATCTTCTCATTGAAAATCACATTCATGCTTCTTATGATCTTTCAATCTTCATCATCCTAGAAATGATAACCAAATGTTTCATCTTCATAGCCAATGAAATAACATTTTTTGTACTTAGCCTCAAGTTTGCTATGAGCCTCGTGATTAATAAAAACAAAAGAGAGATAGCCAAAATTCTTAAGGTGAGAAAATTTGGACTTTTTCACATTCCATACCTTTTAAGGAAATTTACACTCTAATGGAACAAATGGCCACCTGTTGATTGGGTAAACTGTAGTATTGATCGCTTCTGCTTAGAAAGTTGATGTACTTTGACATGCAAACTCATGCTTCTAATAAGCTCATTAATTGTCCTATTCATGTGTTATGTAACTCCATTTTGTTGTGGAGTCCCACGAATGGTCTTCTCCATTTTGATAACCTGAGCTGCACAATACTCCTCGAACCCACCATCAATATACTCACCATCATTTTTAGATCTCAAACATTTTAGTTTCAAGTCTGTCTCTGTCTCAACCATTGCCTTCCAAGCCTTGAACACATTAAATACATCAGAGTTTTAGTTTCAAGTCTGTCTCTGTCTCAACCATTGCATTCCAAGCCTTGAACACATTAAATACATCAGAGTTATGCTTCAAGAAGTAAACTCATACATCCCTTATGTGGTCATCAATGAACATGACATAGTAACGAGAGATTCTAAGAGATGCCACTGGAGAAGGTCCCACACATATATATGTATAAGTTCCAGTTTCCCTGCCTTATGTGCTCTGCCACTTTTAAAGAAACTGACCTTCTTCTGTTTTCTCATAATTTAACTCTCATACATGTTGAGATCAACAGAATTTAGTTATGATAGCTTGCCTTTGGACTGAAGTTCTTTCAGACCCCTCTGACTCATGTGGCCAAGCTTGCAATGCCACAGATATGTTGTGCTCTCTGCAGAGGTAGTATCAACATTGTTAATTGAACTAGTAGTTTTATATAGTGTACTAATTTTATTACTTCGAGATAGTACCTGTGCACCTTTTGTAACCTTCAAGGAGCTATATGAGAACACTACTGAATGACCACTCTCATTGATCCACCCAATAGAAATGAGGTTTTTTTTTTTCAACTCGGGAATGTGTCTAACCTTTTGGAAGGACCATTTTCTCTTTTTGGGGAGTACTATGTCAACGTCTCCCATCCCTACCACGTTTAAAGGTTCTCCACCAGCCATATATACCTTCCCAAAGTCACCTACAACAAAATTCTGCATTTGCTCTCAGTGGGAAGATGTATGGAAGGAAACATCTGAATCCAGTATCCAGCATCAATGGAAATTTGAACTACAAGCAATAGTGCATCCTGCACTTCTTCAATTACAACATTAACACTGATGTTCTCTGTCTTCTTAGGATTCTTGTAGTTCTTCTTAATGTGTCCAACTTTGTCGCAATTTCAACAGATTGTTTATTGACTAGCCGTTGGCTTGCCCTTGCCTCTGTGTTTTGTTTTTTATCTTCTTCTTTTTGAGTTCATGTCCTGTGATATTAATGCTAAAATTCATGTGCACCTCCTCAGCCAAAATCAAATCACGAATATCATCATATTTTAGTTTAGATTTGCCTGTAGAATTACTAACAACAGAATTACTAACAATCATTCTCATGGCTTCCTAACTATTTGACAATGAAGCCAGCAATATCAGTGCACATATCTTATCATCAAATTAAATTTTCATAGATGATAATTGATTTATGATAGTATTAAAATCATTCAAATGTTGTGTAACAATTGTATCATCTGTCATCTTCAAATTGAATAATTTTTCTAATAATTGTATCATCTGTCATCTTCAAATTGAATAATTTTTTTAATAAATGCACATTGTTATTCGTTGATGGATTTTCATACATATCTAAGAAAGCTGTCATGAGATCTGCAGTTGTGGTTTCCTTGATGACGTGTGCTACGGATCTCAACAAAGTAAATCGAATAACCCTCAGAACTTATCGATTTAATAATTTCCATTCAGCCTCGTTCATCTTTTTCAGTCGCTTTCCCAATAACGGAAGATGAAGTTTCTTCCCATAGAGATAGTCTTCTATCAGCACTCTCAATAACCAAAATTAGTGTTATCAAACTTCTTGGTCCCTGATACCTTCACTTCAACTCCAGCCATCGCTTTTCCTCATACTTGAACCATAACTCTGATACCAATTATTCTGAAAAAACAATGACAATAAAGCGAAAAATTGGAACAAGAAAATTTGTAAACAGAAAAGAACACACAGAGATTTACGTGGTTTGACAAATTGCCTACGTCCACTGAGTTGCAGAGTATTTTATTACTTTGAGGATTACACCCGTCGATCACTCGAAATTTACAAGAAAGAATTCTCTCTATCTCTCTCTCTTTCTTCACCTTCTCTCTATAAATCAAAAGCCACACAGTAGAAGAAGAGGCACTCAAACAAGGGAGCAGCAATTTCGATTCCTTTTTCCCGTAAGCTTAACCAAAGAGAAAACCCAAGGAAGCATGTATTACCATGTGATTCATTCCTTGATCATCTTCTATAAGCAATACAAAAGCACCAAAAGAATTATGTGCCATGTAGAGAGCCAACAACATGCGTGCCTTTATAATTCCAGCAGAGGCCCATTCTCGTCCCATATAAGGAAACAACCACTTGGAAAGCTTAAGGAAGGCGGAAAGCAGAATTTATACCAAAAGTGGTGACGACAGGAACGCGACAAGAAATGAGTGAACGCGGTTTTGTGGGAGAAACAAATAAATTAGCTTCCTTAATCAACAGTGAACCGGGCTCCGCTAATCTCCATAATTTATAAACTTAAAAATTTCATATCGAATTTACAAAAAAAACTTTTGAAAATAACATGCTACTTCTAAAATGAATTAAAGTAAGTTATTACACATGGTAGCAATTCATGATCGTTATAATTCAAATTAAACAAACCCAAAATATAAATAATTTTCAACAATTTAAACTGGGAAATAAGTGAGTAATAATTATATGACAGTAACATTTAAGAAAATGCTTAAATTTAATTGTTAAGATTTTAATTAATGAAACTAAAAATGATTGATGTTGTGATGAAAATTTAAAAAAAAGAATTGCTTGAATAATATTAATATGATCTCAAACAAAGAATTGAAGTTAATCCAAATACTTAACAACTTCTTAAGCATCTCAATTGGTCATGATGCAATATTAAGTATGCAAATGATATTTTTTCTCATATTTTTATCAATAAAGAATATGAATAATATGGCTTTTGGGAGAAACCTCTAACAAATAAAATCACAAGAATCAAAGGATTTGTCAGCCTAAAATGAAGAAAATTGTAGGAATATGAGCTGAAGATTCCACATTTACCTTGCTTCTCTTCAATTATTCCTATTTATATTCTCACTTTGAGGATCTTTAGCTTGTCTTCTATTCATGGCTCTTCCAATTCTATTTCTCTTCCCACTCGAAGGCTCTTCTTCGACTTCTGTCATCTATACATTTTTAATTTTGTAGTAGCCCATTTTAACATATGTAGATAGTAAAAGAGTAAATGTAGGTCATTTGACTGCAATAAATTAAATGTTTTAAAGATATCAAACAAAGTGAAACATATCAAAAATTCAAGTCATTTCAATTTAATGTAGGTCATTTTCTATTATATTTGATTTCAATTATATAATTCTTTGATTAATATTTATTTTTTAGATATTAAATGACTATGATTGAGATATAAAATTGTCTTATCATATTATGATACTGTTTTGCAACGTACATAATTTCTTAAGTGTATTTTATTCATTTTTATCTTCTGTTGTAAAAGCTAAGATTATCTTTTGTTGTGCTTTCAAATTTTAAGATTTTTATGTTGAATATTGAAAAAATATGAGACTCGAGATGTATGGATAGTTTAGATTGATATTTATTCACTAAATTAAAGAATTGTTTAGCCTAAGCTTTCTTAAATAATGCAGACAAAATTGGTGATAATGGTTGTGGTCATTTGACTGCAATAAATAAATAAATAAATAATTCAAAGAAATTACAATTTGA